GCTGCCTAGCAGTGAACGCTAGAAAAAGTGCCTTCCTAATCGCGCACCATGCTGTTCTGAATCTTAAGCATTTCCACAACGACATTCAAGCCCAAGTATTTATACATGGAAGAAATATAATACGGAAAATCCCAGCCACCGCCAACTGCTGCTATCCTGCAGGGTCCACCAGCTCTGGTAGTCAGTGTGTTGCTGAGGTATCGGCAGCCCCACCCTCAGCCTCTTCTCCCTCTAGGGCGGTCAGTCGAGCGTCCGGAAGGTCAACTCCGAATTTGGCCTTACATTCGCTACGGAAACTATCCAGCTGCAGCTCCTGCAACAGGCGATCTGTGGGAACTATGTAGAGAATGTCCTGTACGTCCAACGCAGAAATATGTATAGTACATATACATGTATGTGCATACCATATTCTAAATGCTTGCGCATTCTTACACGCACACACAAACGACCGTACACACAGGCGTGTGGGTAACAGCTACACCGGGTAAGAGGTAGAAATATCCTTGTATTGGCGTGGGACGAACCCTCTCTGAGCTCTGCAGATAAACTTACTCTCGCCCCTTCGCCAGCTGCCGACGGTCTCCGCTTCACCGTGATGTATTTCAGAGACTCGCACTCAGACAAGAGATCTCCTAGAGTCTCGAGCTCTGTAGACACAGAAGTACGCAGCCCTTGCAGCACATCGAGGAGAGGTAGGTTCACTGTTGCTCCCTGCAGTCGGTATATAATATGCAAGGTAAACGAAAAGAGGGGGTAGGAGCTCAGATATTCATCAAGGCATATCTCCAAGTCTATACACTATTCAACCACGAAGAATGGAAGCACATTTGATGCCTTTAACTACTTACTGTGAGACGGCTCTCTGAAGTGGACTGCCTTGAACAGGGAAGCCTCTGCAGGACAGACAGCGAACGCGAGCGAGCTGGCAGTCATTCTACCTACACTGCAGAGGAAAATGGTATTATTGCGAGGTGGGTTGCTTGCCCATTCGTACGTGGACCTAATTGAAGGGAATAACGACGTAAGCTGGGGAGCACAACAGCCAAAGTGCAGCGAGAGTGCAGGAACTCCGGAACTGCCCCACCATCAAAGCCTTCTAGCAGGTCTTGTCGGCCTACAATGCCCATGCTAGCCTTTAGCGTCTCTAAAGGCAAATCCGCCTGATACGACAGAAACAGCAAACTGAGAAAAAGCAGAAACCCCCGCAGTTCCTCTTCGCCTGCACCGCAGAAACATGGGGAAATGCAACAACACACAGAGGGTAAAACACAGCAGCAAAGCAAGACAGTAGAACGCAACTCAATGCGGGAGAGTCATGATGAAAAGGAAGGATTTGCACAAGGACAGAAGTTCGGAAGTTCGCTGTTCATTTGAAGAATACATGACACCTGCGTCTCTGTTGTTAATGCTTAGAACACGACATCCGCGACGACGAGACCGTCGCTCTCAGGCTACAGAGCAAATGGGGGACGGAATCATCTTTCTCTCAGCTAAGTCCAACTATGCATTCTGTGAAAATATGC